TGTTAAAGATTATATAAATTATTTTATTTATATGTATTTAAATAAATCCATTTTCATTTCTTCTTGAAGAAATGAAAAGTTCAAGGTTATGACAATAGTCTCTTTACCTTTGTGGTTCTAAAATATTTTTCATTTTAAAGACGTTTGGTGTCGGGGTGATAAACGCGTCATTTTCCTAGGACATAAGTAAGTGCTTGTTAAGCATCCCGGTGAGTCACCTTATGGAAATGAAAACGTGGATCTGGAACACTTGCTTGAAATTCTTTATGTACATACAAGTCCATAATTCACTTTGTAGACTCGTAATCTACATAACTGTAGATTACTCAAAATGTCTTCCCGAGGCCTGTGATGGAATAAGTTAGTGTGTGAAACCGTGATCCTTGTATTAAGGCATCACTCTATTTTTGGATATGTATATAAAAAATAGTCTCGTTTAAGTTACTATAGGTGTGCCTAAGGAACAGACACGTCTCCTGTATCAGAGCTGCTACTGATAGGAGATGCTCAATTATGATATCTGGACTTCACCCCATAAAAGTATCGAGTGTCTGAAAGCAAACTTCTGTGTTACAAATCACAAGATGACATCCTTTCCCAAAATATGTACCTAACAGGAAATCTTAGGGAACCAACCTGGGAAAATAATCCTAGAAACTAAAGTAATCCTTTGGGCAGAAGCTATGACCACCCTAGGCTGGCAAGTCACAGATGTTAGTCTTAGTAGCAGAACAGGGAAGGAAACTAGCCCGTGTGGTTTGCGGTGCTCTATATGCGGTTTTATCCTTTGTAAGAGCGTATCATAGCACCTAAACCTCACAGTTCTGTGAGGTTAATTTTCTCAGCTCCAACACAACTGAGGATACTGAGATTCTAAAGAGTCAAGCACCTGACAGTATTTTGACAATTTATACTGAAAGTGGAGTTTAAAATGTGGAGGACAGTGCATGCAGATGACATTAGCAATCCAACTGAGAAGGTGTAAACTAAATAAATAGCTTCTTCCCATCTGGTAAGTATACCAGTGTTACAAATTTTGGTTCCATATTCAGCACTGTCGTCTCTACACCGCTCTTTGGTTATCTCCTTCAATCCTAAATCTTCTCTGTAATTTCTACGTAAGTTATTTTAAATTTTGCGTCTCATTCCTGGTTTTCAAACTTGCATTTCCAGGAGAAAATAGATTGCATTTCAAAGACTTCAAGCTTAGCAGGTTCAGAGGAAACCCAGTATCATTTATCCAACCCCATTCCCTTTTTTGTCGCCTCAGGTAAGGGCTGCAGCTCATTATTGGGACAATCACTCCTTCAAGGTGGCATTATCTGTTGTCACACTTCTCTCTCAGGTTATCTTCAAAGACCATCATTGAAAAATAGCAACAATTAGAATTTTTACACGAACGTCTTCCAGGAGGCCCACGTCTCAGCAGCCAACAGCGTTCGGGGAAGCCCACGTCCGACATTTTCTAACCGCAGTTTTCTCTAATTCAACATTTCGGGCCCCGTGATCATCTCACGAGGACGACCACAAAGTGACAGGCACCAGCGAGACCAACGGGAATCACATCCATAGGAAGGAATAAATATCCATAGGAAGTTCATCCCAGTTACGGGGGCCGGGACAGGGGCGCTGTGCACGGAAGCAGGGGTGCAGAAGCGCGAAGCGGGAAACAAGAGGAGGAGGGAAATGGGAAAGAGCAGGAGAGGGACCGGGAAAGCGGAGGTGGGAGGCGGGAAGGAGGGGGAAGCTAGACCGCCGACGCCGAGGAGGCCGGGCGTTTTCCAGGGCCGGAAGAGGAGCCCTGCAAACACCAGCCAGCACCACCGCAGTGCAGTCCTACTACTGTTCAAATTCAAGTAGACACTAAGAAAACTGGGCTTTTCCTCACGTCTTGTTAACCCTAAAAACTACAACCTCCCACACCGGGCTTCGGGAAACGGCTCAGCCCACTCCCCAGCGCAGCCTGAGCTGCACATGCGCACTCTGGGCGCAGGGCTGCAGCCACACCCACGGAGGAAGTGACGCGCCCACGAGGGGCGGGGCGGGCTCTGCCCCGGAAGTGTCTGGCAGGTAGTAAATAATCGCTAGAAGGCGAGCGAGAACCCGTCTCCATCTTGTCCGCGTCCTCCCCGCGGGGGCTGTCGCGATGGGGAGCGTGCTGGGGCTGTGCTCCCTGGCGAACTGGGTAAGGCGGCCGGGCTCGGCCGCGGGTGCCGGCGTGCGGGG